AGAGCTTCTTTGATAGATCGGTGTGAGCTGTTATCAAAGGCACCCTCTATATCTATAAAAGCTGCAAGAGCGATTTATTTTGCTTCAAGTGCCTTTCCTATGTACGTTACTAGACAATGGAGTGCACTTGTTGTGGTAGGCTTGAAATAGAATGATTGACAAGATGAGGATGAGAACTTCACCAAGGTAAGTTATTCTCGAACTTGGTAATTGACGATGCCATCCAGCAAGAAGAAAACGCAAAATTAATTACAAGAACATGACTTTGATAATAGCGCTAATCAACGCTGCTGCCTCTAGCGAGAAAAAACGAACAAATTACCTTCCGCATGCATAAAAATCTTTTCAGTAAGGTGTATCAAGGGATCACTTCTTTGTCAAGTGTTGATGACAATAATGTTCAAATTATAAATACTATGTTCTATACCTAGGTAGAGATGTTGGTCATTATAAGTATAGGCTGTGTATATGGGTCCGAGCGGTCGGCTCCATATCCTGAAGGATACGGGTCCGACCGCTCGAAAGGCCAGCGTGGACGCGACAGGCTGTCCGAGCGCGCTCGGCTTTCTTAACAATAGGCCATTAGGATAGGATAGAGGTCCGAGAGTGAGAGTCACCTATACACAAAATGCTATGCCTAACCTAGAATAATACTGTTTATATTAACACTCTTGGAGCTTTCTTGGACTTGTCCAAAGCTTTTGACAGTCTGGATCACCAGATTCTTTTGGACAAGCTCAAACTATATGGAGTGACAGGCTCTGCTTTGCTCTGGCTGGAGTCATATCTTGCGAATAGAACACAGATGGTAACTATTCAAAAGGACGAGGGGGTTGTTTGCTCTGAGAGAGAGGAGGTCACCAGGAGCATCCCACAGGGAAGTGTTATTGGCCCTACTCTCTTTGTCCTCTATATAAACGATTTTTCGTCCCATATAACCAGCGATCATGTGAAGACAGTCAATTTTGCTGATGACACAAATGTCAGTGTCACTGCAAATGGCCTCTTGCAACTCGAAGAGCGAGCAACTTTCTGTCTTGGTAAAGCCCAAAACTGGTTTGACAGTAATTTATTGCTGTTAAACACAATTAAAACCATCTTTATGAGTTTTCATAATTCATACCCTCCAGTCAGCTAATAACCATCCAACAGGTTTAAATATCTTTTCCCAAAATGTAAGGCTTTCAGATAGCGTGAAATTTCTGGGAATAGAAATAGATCACCACCTAAAATGGAACAAACAAAATCAAGCTCTTTCTAAAAAACTAAGTAGCACCTGCTATTCTTTCCGTGTTCTAAAACAATTCCTAGACAGAAAATCGCTATTATCTGTCTTCTATGCCACTTTTTATTCTTTTGCCCGCTATGGAATAATATTCTGGGGTAGAGCAGGATGCGAAGGAGATGCGATTGTTATGCAAAAATGTGTAGGTACTGAGACAAATTCTTAACTTGTCCTACAGAGAGTCTTGCCGAGGACAATTCAAAGAAACAAACATTCTTACACTACCAGGTATCTATCTATGAATGTCTTATGTTCCTACATAGAAACTTTGATAAGTTTCTCAACTATCTCCCAGAACACAAACATAACACCAGGTCAATTGTCTTGAACTATCCAGGCTTGCACTTACTGAGACTGGACCCACCTACATGTGTATAAAACTCTTCAAGTTTCTTCCCCAAAAATTAAAATTAAAAATAACAGAAAACTGTTTTAATTTTTTTTTATTTCAGCATCTTGTTTCAATAGAGCCTTACAAGATTAATGAATTTCTAAATAAGGATGTACCTACCTAGTAATAACTGATAACTATTTTGTTCCTCTCTAGTGGTAAACATTTTGTTCCTTTTAACTGTTGGCCAGACTTGTGATAACTTTTTATGATATTTTATATTTTAAACTGTAAAATTGTCTGTCTTTTTTTTTATTTTATAAAAAGTACCTGTCTTTTCAACTATGTATGTACTAATTGAGTCTATGACTTACTTTTCATTGTTTGACTGAAAGCACAATTTACTTAGTTTTTTTTTCTGCTGCTCTACTCTATAAATTCTTAAATATTCAAATTATATTCTGGAGAAAATTTTAAAATGTTCTTTTACTCTTTTATTTGGAGATTACTTATCGTTGTAACACTCAAATTTGAATTTAACTTTAGTTATATATTTTGACATTGTTTAGTTAAACAACAATTAATGTTTTTTATATTATCTTTTGTATGTTTCTTTAAAATAAAGATATTCTGATTCTGATTCTATTTTTCCATCATTTGGTAAACTAACAGGAACCATATGTTAGTGTTTTATGCAGATGCAGGTTAGCTTATATCATTGTTTTACTTTACATGTACCCTACATTATGTAGGTGTGTATTTTTCGAGGTATTTTTAAAGTTTTTCAAAGAAGTTTACCTGCTTATTGTAAGATATCTTGGTATCTAATTTACTTCAACATGGATTTAAAACTCGGGGTAAAATACAAGTCCTTTGCAGAACTGGAAAATGCAGTAGAAAAATACAAATAACAAAAGTGAAAGCGTGAAGGAAAAATGTCCTTATAATTTTTAAAATTTCATAGTTTCAATAATTGAACTCTATGCTGGAACAACGTTTCAAACGCCAAATATTGTTTTGCTAGGAATTCGTAGGGCGAGGTTGCACCTAAAATGTTGTTCCGCAAAAAGGACAAACTGGACATTGAAATGGCATCAACAACCCATCAAGAAAAAATCCTATGCCTCCACTATTAAGTCGGCGGCTTATCCAGGGTACGTACAATGTTGTTCGACGGAAATACCGTTTTTACACATATTGTCGTTTGCAACGTTGTTCCAGCATAGGTTTCAATTGTAGGTTTGAAGTTACAATACTTGTATAAGTTCGAAGTTGCAATAAGTGTAATTTCAAAGTTAGAATTATTATTCTAAGTCAATCAATTATTCACCATTTTATAGTTTTTAGATTTTCTTATTGATAAAAGCTTAAATTTTGACTATTAACGGCTCTTGATTGGCTCCAGGAAAGTCTTCCAGAGAATCAAGTGCCGGTAATAATCTAAATTTTGTTTATTTGGCTCTTGATCAATTGGATAATTTTTCTAGAGCCAATTAGGAGCTGCGGAAGAAGAAATTTTGATTGATATCAACTTAAGAGAGCTGCTAATGATCATTCGAAATTTTGAAAAATATCGGCTCTTGAGTTGAGCTTTGAATGCCCTTAGAAAAATTCTCTTGCGAATCCAGAGTTGATAAAAGTTAAAATTTTGGCTATTACCGGCTCTTGATTGGCTTTAGGAAGGTTCTCCAGAGAGCTGGTAATAGTTCAAATTTTGATTATCTGTACTGTGTAGCTCTTGATCCATTGGATAATTTTCTTGAGCAAATTAGAAGCTGCGCGAAGAAGAAATTTTGATCGATATCAACTTAAGAACTGCTAATGATCATTCGAAATTTTGATTATTATCGGCTCTTGAGCTTTGAATGCGCTTAGAAAAATTCTCTTTCGAATCCAGAGTTGATAAAAGTTCAAATTTTGACTATTACCGGCTCTTGATTGGCTCTAGGAAGGTTTCCAAAGAATCAAAAGCCGGTAATAGTTCAAATTTTGAATATCTATGGCTACTTTATTCATTGGATAATTTTTTCTGGTGCAACTAAATACCGAATATCCATATTGGATGCTGTGCTGTGCTATGTCTGATAGACAAAATAGAAAGAGCATGCAGTCTATGCTGACTTCCAGTTAAGTATATCGATCGATACCGGTCATTATATTTCTCAATTTTATTTTAAAGCATTTTTATTTAAAAAAAAATAAGTACTCATGGTAATCTACGAGGATTAGATCGCACTAGACAAGGCTATTATCGGTAAGTTTGGGTAAGTGTACATTTTCTTGATTATTATTAATTCAATTTCATATGTCGCTGTTTTGTTCAGATGTCGCTATTTTCAATGTCGCTCTTTCAACATGTCGCTCTCTTGATATGTCGCACTTTTGATACGTCGCTCAGATTCGTGGTCAGCGACAAAAAATATGTCGTGCAAAAAATTAGCGAAATCCGAGAAGATAGAACACTCGATAGAACATAATAAACCTGATGATGGATATCTCGGAAACGAAACGCGAGCGACAAAAACAGATTTCAGATTTGTGATTAGCGACCAAAAATAGGTATATGTGCGTTTTTATTCTCATCGGTGGATTCACCGATGAGTTAGCTATCTTTGTTTAGTGAATGGAAAATGACAATAACCGACATAGAATGGTGGATCCATCGGTAAAATTTGATGAGAATAAAAACGCAGGGTATACCTTCCTACAAAAAATCATGAAATTCAGAGAGGGTAACGGATAATAGATAATTACCAAACCATGTTTTTTGAGAACAATTTTTCAAGCACTACACCTTTCCTATTTACATTTTTTTTATACACAGTGGCACAAAGAAAGTTAGGGAGGGTGGGAAAATATAAAAAATGACCATGTACCTACTGCTTGTGATTGAATAACTTGAATTGAATACATTTGATTAACTTTGGTGCATAAATAGCGGTGGCTCTCAGGTTATTTCCTGAATTTGTTAATTGTTAATTAATGCGGTAGCAGAAAGCCCTTTAAAAACTATTCCTAAATATTAGAGCTAATTTTAAGCTATTGACTGATCGGTCATCTTGACAGATAAACCATTAATTAAGCGACATTTGCCAACCAATTGGTCTTAGCTGACGTTAAATGCATTGCTTATCCCTCAACATGACCGACTGGTCAATAGCCTAAAATTGGTTTCGTTAATTTCCATCAATAATTAGGTTTGGCAACACGTTTTTTCGTATTTCGGTCAGCGAATTATTTTCGACCAATATAGTTCAAATAGATGGAAATAATTCGACGTCATATTGCAATGCATGATTGTCACGTCCGAAAGTAATGGCGGATTCTCGGCTAGGTTCGTTTGAACTGTGGTTCGGGTTCGAGCAACCATCAAGCGTCAACACTCACCTTACCACTTCCACTGAACGGCACCAAACAAAAACGAGATTTTACTAGTTCTTGTAGCGGAGGGAGCAGGAGCATCGAGGCAGCCCACTGCCCAGTCCCAGTAAACCTATAGATTCCGCTATCTACGGTACCCATATTTGCTCGGTGACCATCCGTTCTTTTCGAAACTCGTCAGATAAAAATACGGACAACGAGCACCTGTTTAACCAGTGGTTCTACCTGTTTGAAAAGTTATTCGTGAAATCGTGAATCGCGATGATGTTTTGTGCGTTGTTAGTATAATCTTTCCAAGGTATTCGTCGCTTGTGAAATCGTGTTCTTGTGTGAAATTTAATTTAAAAAGCTCAAAAAAGAACAATGTCTACGGAAAAACTGAACGGAAATTCGAAAACGCGCCTATGCCATATTCAGAAAGTGGATAATTTCGATGGGTATGGTTTCAATTTACATGCAGAAAAAGGCAAGCCCGGCCAATATATTGGCAAAGTCGATGAAGGATCGCCTGCAGAAGCTGCCGGCTTAAGACAAGGTGACAGAATCTTGGAAGTCAATGGTGAAAGTATTGGCGATAAGACTCACAAGCAAGTTGTAGAACTTATCAAACAAAATGCCGAAGAAACTCAACTTCTTGTAGCTGATAATGAAGATGGTTCAATAATTCCTACAAATATTTCAGAACCTTTGAAAAAAACCGAAAATACTTCTAATAGAAAACATGAAAATAATTTTTCGAGCTCGAACAAACAACACAGTCAAACTGAAAAGGAAGAAAATAGTACCTTGAATCTCAGCATGACTGCAGCTGAACTTAGAGCAAAACTGGCGGCGAAGAAGAAATTCGATCCAAAAAAGGAAGCAATGGACTTTAAGCAAAAATTTGATATTGTTCAGAAGTTGTGATGGCTTTAGTCTTTTAATTAGGTAAAAATACTTATGTGATTTTGTTCTCACTCAGAAGTGACAATTATTATCTTCACGCTTTGGTAGGAATTTTAATTTTTTACGCATTTTTTTGATATAGGAAAAGCACTACTCACTGTTTAAAATATGCACAATCAAATAGTATGTTATTCAAAAATATAAAAATACTGTCGCTTTTTACATAGCCAGTGATGATGTTCAATCACGTACAACCGCTTTCACTATCTTCTGTTAATTTGAAATCCTACCAGTCTTACCACATCAGAAAGTTTAGTAAAACATACAAATGTTTTTATTATCTATTTATTACATATTTTTCACTGGTTTTAATATATTATTGCTTGTTTTAATAGTCTTGTCGTGGCCATAATACAATTATTTCAAGCCAGGCAATTATTGCATTATCCAATATTTTGTAATCAAAATTCGTTAAAAGAAAGATAAAAAAAGATTTGCATACTTACAATTTTTGAAATGAATGTCCGAAGCAATTATTAAAACTATGTAGTCAGTGGTTAGCCACAAAAAAGAAAATTTAATTTTAGAAATTGATAATTAGGTAGAAACTGTTAAAACTTTTGGTTAAACTAACGCCTAATGGGTTTATTCAACTTCCACTTTTTAAAGCTTATTTCATGTTTCAACAGGAGGCACTTTTCTTGGAATTTCGGTAATTAAGTATTTGAACGTCAAATTGAATTCGTATTAGTTATATGATTTCCGTTAAAATAAGAGCCGTCCAAAAATTAGTTAAAATAGGTACCTATATATTTTGTAATGTTTTTTTTTAATCGAAATAAACAGTACCTATGTAGGTACCTATAGTGATATTTACAGCTTTTTGGAATTCTTTCTTCTTGAAATTTTATCTCTATTTATTGGCCCTATAAACTTATCCTTCCTAGGTTATAGGATTCCTAGGAGATATACTGGGAAGCTGCACCTGGTCCCCCAATAACAAAAATCATACCTTAGCTTCTTGAATTTTATGAATTTAGAGCAGGGTGCCCCATCTAAAATTATTGCTTTTTCTCCACCTTGTTATTTGCAAAATAAAACAAACGAGGTTTGAAAAATGGTGGGTGGTCTAAAATTGAAATATTCTAAAAATTATTGGCATTTCTAAATTAATCGAACATTTTTGAGGTTGTTCTCCTATGGATACACTTTGTAAGTATAAACGGTGATTGGCTTGAAAAGAAATAGTGCCCTAGGTATCAGTTTTTTCGAAAAAAAAAAAACCAAATAAAAGGTAGGTGCCTATTTTTTCTGACCAAATTTTGTATTTTCTAATAATACTACTTCAATATATATACAGGGTCGCTATGAATAAAGTTATGTTTTCTTGTTTATATTTGGATAGCACTTGAAAAGATAATTTCAATAATGTATCATGAGACGGATAATTTTAGGTCTGTTTCTGCAGAAATCCCAAACCAGTCAGAGCGAATTTCATTGGTTGAAAACAGTCAGAAAACTAGTTTCAACCAATGAAATTCACTATGACTGGTTTGGGATTTCTGCAGAAACAGACCTTTTGTCTTTAAAAAATATCCCAAGCTCAAAATTCTGCCAAAAAAATATGTATACAGCTAGATCTTCCACAAAAACAAATTGAATGTCATCTTGCTTATGAATATCTGTCAAATATCCAGAAAAAATTATCGAGTGAGTGACGTCATTCACATTGGGAAATCCCTTTTATTCCTTGAAAATATTAAATGGAACCTCCGTTTCGAAATGATTCATCATCATTGTTCTGTAGTTGAAGTACCTACCTACTTATCAACAGTTTTTCATTTTGAAGGGTGCGCAGGAATAGGTACATAAAAAAAAAATTAAGAATAAAGTAATAAAAACAAATAAAAACATTGGTAAGATTATAAAAATATTTATTCACAAATACATAGAAAAAAATCTCAGTACATTTTCCACATGTCCGTCGTTTTGAGCAATGCATGTTGTGTATCTCATTTCTGTATGAGCATTGAGCAATTGCGTTTTCGATAAACTCCGAGTACTTTTCTTATTATTTCATTGGCGTAGCTAGATATGCCGGCGCCAGGGGGCAAACGTATCGGCTGGCGCCTAAGCTAAGTCTTTCTTTATTATACCTATTATGTAAATCTTTTCATGAGCATCAAAGAAAGCTCTAGAACTTTTGGACGATTTTCAATATGTTCTAGCGTTGTAAAAGCATTATATAACATTAAATTTAAAACTCTTGGAATCATTTAGAAACTTTCAAGAATAAACTAGTAGAAAAGAATATATATGTATGAGCATTCTAAAACCTTCTGGAACGTTTTAAAAGAAATTCAGAACTTTGATGATAAGCTCCAGACGATTTTCAGTTTTTAATTTTTTCACCCTTATTTACAATTTAGGATTCAGAAACATTGTAAGACGCTCCAGAACAGTTCAGAACCAATTTTGAATTTTGAGAAACATTCCAGAACGGTTTCGAACTTTAAGCCATATTTTGGAAAGCTTAAGAGACCTCGAAATTGAAATTTTCTTGATCATTTTACAGCGCTCCAGAACACTTTACAAATAATTTGAAACTTTTGCTACCACTCTAGAATTAGTTGACAAGTTCCAGAACAATTTAAAAATCATTAAGTAGGTATATATGACTTTAGAACTTACTCAAAATTTTCTATAGCATATTAGAACGTTCTAAAATATTTTAAAATTTATTTACAATTTTCAGATGTGTCATAGAACGTTCTCAAACATTTGTTTGATAACTTTTAGAACGTCCTAACGATTCAAAAGCATTGTAGAACCATTTTAGAACTATTTATATGAAGCATTTTGGAACGCTTCAGAATAGGCTAGAGCCTATTTTACAATAAATTTAATTTCTCAAGAAAAAGACCGAGCCTCAGGCGCCTATTTTTTTTTTGGCGCCGAGGGGCCCGTGCCCCCCCCCCCCCCCCCGGTAGCTACGCCACTGTATTAATTATTCCTGACACAGTTGTACAAATCCGAGTAAAAATCGATTAACCGGTCCAGGATAATTTCGTTGCAGTCGAATTCCAGGTGAAAACCGCTGCAAAACTCAGTATGCCACTTGTTATTTGAAGTTTCATACATTTCCAAGTTCAAGGCTGCTATTCAAAAACTTCTACTCGCCTAGCAGGTTGCTAAGCGAGTAGAAGTTTTTGGATTTTTCGGTAAAATGTACGAGCCCATTTAAATTTTCTGTTTGGCGCTTTTCGCTTTGGAAATTTGGAGACGAATTCCCCGAATATTTTCGATCTGCCAAGAGAAATTGAATTTGGTGCAAAATACATCAGTGAACTCTGGAATAAAGGACCTCAGACCAATATTATGGTGTATCAATGAAATTGTCTTTCCAAGGGCTATCTAGATAAATATACAAAAATACTGCGCGTTCTATTCAAGATTAATGTGGTAACTTCACTCACTAGATAATTTTCTTTTGGATTTCTGACAGATATTCATAGCATTCAATTTTTTTCTGTAGAAACAAGGAGATCAGAGCTGCATTCATATTTTTTTGGCAGAAATTTGAATCTGGGATATTTTTTGAAGAGATTGAAGAGAAAGAATGATGAGTCAAAAATGCGCTCGACCTTCGATTCATGGAGCTATGCAAAATTGAATAACCCACAACGTATAGGTATTATACAGGGTTATTCACTATAGGTATTTTGACCCCCAACATGCAGCCTTTACCTTTACAGGTAGATGATAGGTGTAAATACAAAAGTTGTGCAGTTTTAGCTAAATTTTTAGAATCCATCGTCAGAAACAAAAAATTATTGTCAGAAATTTGAAATTTTGCCTACTTTCAACTTTTTTCGAAATATTCTTGAAGAGCACAATTTTCCGTTTCTAAAAATATATAGTTTGTCTATATTTGGTGAAACCGTTTCCAACATACTTGGCTCTAAAAATTATAAAAATACTATTAAAGGAACCAAGTGCCTCAAATTTTACCTGCAGCTATCCCCTTTAAAGGTGAATGGTTCACAAAATCTAAGTCAGTAGTATAGTATTTTTACAATTTTTAGAGCCAAATATGTTGGAAACGGGTCAACCAAATATGGACAAACCATATATTTCTGGAATCAGAAAATTGTGCTCTTCAAGAATATAGAATCAAATATAGGGCATTCCATTTGAGAAAAGTTGCAAGTAGGCAAAATTTCAAATTTCTGACAATAATGTTTTGTTTTCTGCACAACTTTTGTATTTACATCTATCATTCACCTGTAAAGGTAAAGGCTGCAAATGGGGGGGTCAAAATATAGTGAATAACCCGGTACCTACTCTATATTGAGGAAGCCATATCAAAATGATTGAAAAATACAAGATTTCGTTAGAATAAATTTTTAAAAAATTATATTTTTTTTTTTCGAGAAAAACTAATATTTTTCAATGCAAGGTAGGTGCTATCCCTTTTTAAGTCAATCGACTATTTCAGTACGTTTGTTTACCATCACAAAAGTCTGAAATTTTTATTTACGTTTCAATTATTTGCACTCGTACTTTAATATGCATGTGCGGTAAGCGATAAAAAAATTTAGCAATTAGACACCTGATCATGTTCATCATCAGTAAAACTTTTCAGTGAATCAGAGGAAGATAACGCTTCATTTGAATCACCTGATAAACTGAATTCTAAACACATTACGAAATAGTCAATGGGAAATTACGGGGCCAACAAATGATGATGCAATCATTATGAATAATTATTATTCAAGAGATGTCATTAATATGAGTATTAAGAAAAAACGCTCACATAATAGTACATTAAAATACAAGTTTCATAAGACGACATTTTATCGCACGAGCCCTATATTAGAAAACGAGCCGGAGGCGAGTTTTCTAAAGGGCGAATGCGATAAAATGTCTTATGAAACGAATATTTTATACTATTTTTTCTATTTTGGTATTGTTTAATTTAGAAAAAAAACTTTTCTTGGAAATTTTATTCTCATATTTCCTGATTTCATATGTTTAGGTTGGTAACACTACATGCCAAATATAGAAATCTTCTATTATTTTTTTATAGTGAATGACAGTTCGATGGCCATCAGTCAGCCAGTGTTACCAACCTCCGATAAGTGAAAAAGGAGTGTCACAAAGAGTTTCTCTTCGAAACTACTTTTAGTGTCGAAAAGACTTCGATATGACACCAAAATAGAAAAAAATATGTTTGTCCAGTGCTAGGGTAGAGTGGCACGTGAGAAATTGAAGCTTGTAGGCCCAATTATTATCAAAATCATAAAGCTATATGTACCTATATTTAAAAAAAAAATTAAATTGCCTGACGCGCAGTTGTTCTGGTTTCCCAAGTTATGGAGCGTCAAAGTGTGATATTTTGAGAGGTATTGTCATAAGTAGGTACTTGAGACATAAGAACGAATGATATTCGGTGAGATTATTTCCTGATTTTTTTGTTTTGACAGAACCTATCGAAAATTTTTCCAGCAAAATTCATGCATGATCTGTCATACAATTTTTCCACTTGAAACAATGTTTGACGTTGACGTGCGTTTTTGTGATGAGAGGAGGGAAAATAATCACATAAAACGCACGTAGACGTTTAATATTATGGGTATGATATTTTTTATAAATTTGTTCCGTAAATTTCCATTTTCGTTAGTATGGTAGGCTGTAAAATTCCGACAGGCTTTACAATAAAACCGTTGCACATTTTTATCGTATTTTTTTTTAGGCGATAAGATTGAATTTGGCTTCCTGTTAAATGTTGCAAGCTTGTGAAAATCTTATATAGACACAGGTTTTGCATAATGATTATCCCTATATGCTTTAGAGTAAATTAAGAATGCGTCTTCACACATGTTTTTATGTACCTACTACTTAGGTACTTGTATCATAATGGCATTTGAACATTGTTTATATACATATTTAAATTAGAAATTTAATTTCCACTGTCCTGGAACTAAAATATATCATGGGCATTTTTGCGGAAAAAGACTGAAGGTTAATCATTTTTACAAAATTACTCCCTGGACTATAATTATTTTGTTATCTAAGTAGCTATTTGAATAAAAAATTCATAAAATAATGATTTCAGAAAAATGCATTAAAATATGATGACAATGAACATAATATATTTATTATAGTATAACTTTCTATAACAGTCAATGTTCAATTAATTATTAATAATAACAACAATATTAAATTATTATACAGGCAGATAGCTTTTAACATATTCAATTTACATATTCTTGAGAAAACTGTATTCATAATAAATTGTTAATCAATCCACATCCTTTCAAAATTTCAATTGCAATGCCTTCCATAATTTCAAATTCGATAAGGTAAACCCATCAATTTTTATGCAATAATGTATTGATCAGACTTATCAAAAATTGTGTGAAACAAAATTTAGAACTAATGGCGAATCAATTAAGGATACCAAGTGGAGGTGGAAGAACTGGTCATTTATTCGCGGAATGCCGAATTCTTATTACGTACCTACTATTTTAATTTAATTTCATAAATCAAGATCCGGAAGCCAAGGTTTATATGACTAACTATTCCTCTGATTAATTCAACCTACTGATAATTGGATGAAACGTCATTTTCCGCTGATTGTTTGAAAAATTAATTTGATATCAGTTTTGTAGTTTTGTCTTCTACTATAAATAGGGCAAGGTCACACACACATCACGCAAATCATAGGCATTCTGTATACAATTAGCTAAATAAATATTTGGTGGATTTATTACGAGCGTTCATGGCTCATGCCCTTTAAATTTTATGCCTTTTTCTTCGATTTTCTGAAAGGAAATATGGACTTGTCTTTTGTCTTGTCAACTTTTGGAAAAAATCGGAATGATATCAAGTTTGAAACAGACAGTGCATTCTTTTATTGTTTTTTAAACTTATTTTCAATCCTTTGAAAGTATGCTGAAAAATAACAATTATGTGTGAGTTCTAAATGAATTTTTTGGGAAAAAAAGTTCACATTTTCTTCTAGAAAATTATTTTGTACAATTCTTGTCCAATGAAGTTGATATTATTTTGTCGTTCTCAGGTAGAAAATGATGCTGCAACTCGAATAATTTGGCTACATACTCAGGAAGACAGATAGTCATTATTTTTCGCGTGCCGATATTGATAAATTTTGTAATTTGACCAACGACTTTTGTAATTTTTAGTTAAACTTGATGCAAATTCGTATCACGGGGATATTTAATTCGTAGATCGATTTCCTCAGGTACGGTCTCTTTAATGTTCCTTGATTTTCATCTGTATGACTAGCGAAAACAAAAAAAACTCACCTGCACTTTTCCGGACTCTTCAAACTTGTTCAAAATGAAATAATGGTTTTATTAAAGTTTTTTTGAAGGCTAAAATTCTTAATTTACACTTTAAATTATATAAAGTAGGTATCACGGTATCACACCCTAATCATAATTAAATTTACAAGTGAACTTTTGTGCTCATATTTTTATCAAAGATTCCAATAACTGTTTATTTTATTTTTCCACAGTTGGTATTCATCATAACTGGATTTAAAATTATTACTCCTAACATCTTCCATTGTGTAATTTGTTACATTACTGTATTATTCCAGTATTTTTTGAGTTAATTGTTTTTTGTTTTTTTCACCCATATACCTACCCATAAAAATTTTCTTGATTTAGCATTTCTGATGTTTCCAAAATTATAAAGAGGTATTAAAACGTGCAGACATAAAATTAGGAGACATCTCATTGAAGATGATCCTATTATTTAAACAAATTCCCAATAGTTGACAATAATCGAGAAGTTACCTAGTTTCAAAGAAAATATACTAGGTATACCTACATACCGCTAGTACAAAGAAGTTTGGTAACTACCTATTTTTTTTTTTTTTATTTGGATGAAGTTTGGAGATTCACTATAACATGAACATTCCTTTTTTTTTCGTGCGAGTTTCAAAGATTTCCTGGATGGAAGATTTTTTTATAAAGGTGTTTTAGGAAAACTGCGAGTTTCAGAGATGTTTTAATTGTTCTCTATTTTCGCATTTTCGCATTTTCGCATTTTCGCATTTTCTTTCCATCACAGCGTAGCTTTATCCTAAAGTGGGTAAATCTACGCTGCATCGATTATTTTTCTAGTTAACTTTTGAAAGTGGATACCATTAGCTATAAAGTATGCATCAAATTTGTTTCTTACTTCTCTATAGAATGACATGCAATAAAATTGCATAAAATTAAGTTACGCCACAGGCCACACATCAACTAAATTATTTTTAAATCGAGTAGCATCAACTAGTTTTAACAATTGCCCGACCTTGCAAACATTAAAAGTAAATTGTGCCCCAAATTGAAAAAGCACTGTTGTATTGCTTATTATAATAATGGGGGCTTAGCCATAAGCATAAAAGTTGCCTAATTAATAGATAGATTGACACGTATATTTAATTAATGTATCACCTTTATGGATGAACATCGCAATCGCAGTCTTATTGTAAAAGCTGAGCGTATTTTTAATGATGTTAGCAAATGTAAGGATTGCTAGAATAATTACTTCGAACTTGTTATAGTCTAAGGTGTTGAGATTTTAACTATTAACCAATGAAAGCAAAGCAGGGCCCATTTGAAATTTCTTTTCAAATATTTTGTTAGACTTAATATATTTTTTTAGTGTATGTAATGAGATTACGACTTATAAATTAACAATCATTAATAATATTAAAATAATTTAATGTAAGGCTAGGTTAAATTATTATATTTATTCAAGGTGTTTCTCCTGTGTCCACATCTTTAAACCTAATAAAGGTTGTGTTTGTTAATATCTCCTGTTTGTTTTTTATTTTTGTTTTTTTTTATTTGATAAATATCTACATATATAGGGTATTTATTGTTGCTATTTTTATCTGGAAGACTTCAGCGAAATCGTATTAATATATTTCATTTCTTTTCACAAACTAAAGGTAAATCTAAAGCTTAATCTACCCTTATACAGAATATCTAGTGTACAAAAATAAAAAAATAACAATTAATAGTACTTGCTAAAATGAAATTTGTTGTAGCTATATAATAGGGTAATTTTCTTGTTTTAAGGACTGTGGGATAAATGTGAAATGTTGAAGGTACATAATATGCTAGAAGTTCAATGTTTATGTTATTTAGTTATCATTTATAGTTATATGCCCTAATCAGTATTTTATTCTGGAGATTCATGATATACCTACCTAGAGTAGGTAGTAGGTAGATATGGGGAACACTAAATTTAATCTTGGCTTATTTCTTTACGATGTTAAAAAAATTAAAAGTCTTGCTCTAAGGTAAAAATGTTATCAAACAATAAACAATCCATACTTGGTCATAAATTATAATGATAAAATATACTTAGTTGAATTATATATTTTTGTAGTTTCACTATCTAGTAGCTACTATAGGCATATTGTAAACACTTTGGCCACAAATAATATTATTTTATTAGTCGGTAGATACATATTAGGTAGGTACATAGATATTTTAGTGTAAAATTTAACTGTTATTTAAATTAATCAATAAAAATATATCAATTAATAAAATAGTTTTGCAATAAAATGTATTTTTATTTATTTAGGTATACCTATATTTGACTTGAGCAAGCATTTCATTGACTTTTCTCATAAAGCAAATTAGACTGGTTATTTAAAAAGTGTTTCTACAAATTCTAAAAATATAAATAAACTAACATTATTTCTTGAAGCTGCATATATTTTGTCTGTTTTGCTAAATTCAAAGTCAAATTTTCTGTTCTTTTTACAGCTCGGTCTATGATCGTGCAAACTTTATTTATTAGAAAAAAAAAGCATCAGACTTCGCCATACACGCTTTCTAGGCAGTAAAAAAAAAAAAAAAACAATTTCAAGGGGAAATTTTATTTAGTTCGGGAGCAAAATGTATGAAAATAGTTCCCGTGGCAATCTTAATGGAGAGAAGGTGCCAGTGGTGTCTTTTATCAGAAAAATTATGTAGTTCAATAATTTGTATGGTGACACCATCACAGATGTTGTGTTGGTTTTGAGTGCGTCAAACAAGATGGCCGCTATAGCAATCTATATATATAAAAATAAAAGTTCACGGGGTATCCGGATATGCGCTCTAAAACCACTTATCCGATTACGATGAAACTTTGGTAGGTTATTATGGCCATCCCAAGGAAGGTTTGTGGATAGGTTACGCATCTCGGAAAAAGAAATTAATTTTGAATTAAATATTAATTTAATTGTAAACAAACTCATTCACATTACATAACAACATAACCCAACTTTTTTTGACAGCATGAAATAACGTTGACATATTTCATTTATTTAGGCTTGCATTCAACCGACGTAACTTTATTATTTTTTGAATTCAAGAACGGCTGGACCGATCTTGAATTAATACCACGTATCTCTATATAAGGTGAATTCGATTGACCCAGATTAGATCGATTTGGGTTCAATTTAAGTGAACTTCTTCTGATCTAGATCATTTTTTTGTTGATGAGGGTGCACTGATCCAGCTTGAATCGAACACAGTGGTTCATTTAAATTGAACCAGATCGATCTAATCCGGTCAATCGAATCGGCTATAGAGGAGAGTGATATAGGCTATTTTTTATCCCGGAAAAAAAAGTTCGGTTGCGTAAAACTCTGATACACTGGAACGCCTATAAACAGCCCGGGGAGCTCTAGAGCAGCTCTGGAGTGCTTAAAATGCGTCACTGAACTCACTGGCAAGCAACTCTGATATCGGATTAAAAAAAAAAAAATTAAATAGAAAATCAACAACAAAATTTGAAAAGAAGTGTATTATTTCAAAATGTATTTACACGCTAGCAACGCAGCGGGTCATTAGCTATAGTATAATATAAACAAATATGCCTTGTCCTTGTCGTCGCTGTTATTTAACCAATTTTAATTTTTTTTCAGCTTGTTAGAACGGTAATGTAACGAGGAAAACAACATATTGTTGGAAGTATTGCGAAAAAACAATATTTTGGTTGCTGGTTCGATTTAAAATGAACACATTGAAGTTGTAGGTGTTAGCTTATTTTTATCAAAAAAAATATGGTCTCCGTTATATTAGTAAATGTTTTTGAAGAAATTTATGTAATATATTTGCACATAAATTTTAATGAAATTACAAATCGGCCTCATCACTATCATCTTCATCACTATCTCCGTCAGCAAAATCAGGTGGATACAAATTATCACAATTTGAATTGTTCGCATTACAACTACACATTTCTATGCAAGTCATTTATTTCAGCGAGTGAAGAAGAACTTACTGCCATGCAGAAACTTGGTACCAGTGAATTAGTACCTACCTGATGATGTTTTATATCAGCTAGAAATATTTATTTGCCGGGTTTATAAGCCTAGCACTTCAACAAAATCACTTGCAGAATTACGCTGGTCAATGTTTACTTCCAAACAAGCACTTGGAGATAAGTTACCCCCCACTAGAGATTCCCTTGTAATCGCAATTAAGAGAGCTAACCTTCAAGCATTTGTGTGGTCAAAAAATTATGAAGCAAATGCAGTCATCCCTCCAGTTGGAGACGACTGGTGTTTGGAAGAAGTAGAGCTTACCCCTGTTACGTGTGAAGAACCATGCTATCCAGAGTCTCTTCTTCAACTAATTAAATGTTTGTGTCTAAAAAATCGATGTTCACCACCATGTAAATGTTTAGCAAACAATATGCCTTAAACAGAAATATGTACCTACTTGTAATGCGGTCCATTTATTTAACTTGTGATAATTTGTATCCACGGCGGAGATAATGATGAAGATGATGGTAACAAGGCTGATTTCTACTTTTATTAAAATGTATGTGCAAATATTACCTAAATTTCTTTAAATACATAAACTTATAACTAATATAACGTAGACCATATTTCATTTTGATAAAAATTAGGTTACACCTACAATTCACTTTAAATCCAACCAGCAACTAAAATATTGTTTTTTCGCAATACTTCCAAAAATATGTTGTTTTCCTCTCCACATTACCTTTCTAACAAGCTAAAAAAAAAAAAAAAAAAAAAATAGGTTAAACGACGATAAGGCCCTTTGTTTATATAGCGGCCATCTGTGACGGTGTCACCATACAAATTATTGAACTACCTACATAATTTTTCTGATAAAACGACACCACTGGCACCTTCCCTTCATTAACTTTTCCACGAGACACAATTGCTTCCATACTATATTAAATTTTGAAATAAATACGTATTACACATACGCATCAAGTTTTACAATGTTTGTTAGGGTCACTTTGAACATTGTTACTGTCACGAATTCCGCGGATCGACTAAAACTCTCTTCACTATAACAACAGCAACATCTATTGAACTACATGACTTTACAAAATTTACTCATCACTTATCGTTCTCACTTAACGTAATACAACAATTATTATCTTATTTAAACTGACTGTAACTTACAAACTCCGCGCTTTATGCAAAACCGGTAAACTGAGAAATCTTCTGAATTCTCGTAGATTCTTGTTTATTTGAAGCACACAATAGGAACCAATTCCTGAATATTTCCGCACCGGACATGCACAATGGCGTCGGCTTCCGCACCAATTTAATTGGGTTACACTGCCTCCCTCTCAAAATCAATATCAATCTAACTATTTATTCTCGTAATGAGCTATTGAACTGTCCAGATACTTTCCTAGAACCAAGGCTTTGGTAATAATGCCCACTGGATCTATGTTCATCGTCATACTCGCAATCATCTGCATTTTCCCAACTATCCACATGCTTACCATCTCTGTGCCTGTGAAACAAATGCCCTCTAGGATGCCTTCCTGTCCATCCATGGTCCTTATTCTTGAAACAGGAGAGCAGCGTTCCCAGGAGAACGAGTGTTCCGTCTTTGTTACCTATATTATCGGTTGCATATCATTGAGGAAGACGGAACACTCGTTCTCCTGGGAGCGCTGTTCCCTAGTTTCAAGAATAAGGACCCAGGTTTATCCTCACGTGGTTCTTCTTCCCACAGACTGAGGTCCCAGCATTTAGAAGAATGACCTGTTCCTTGATTGACTGTCATGCCATCAGCCGCCTGTATGCGTTTGCGCAGATGAACGTGGCACTCAAACTATGTATTCCTCATCGTACGAATATGTCGAGCGCCTTTCTGAAGGATAATTTGTTAATATTGACCTTCCGGATCAGCAATCGTTTACAACCAATCGTTTTCGCGTTATTTGATTTATCTAATAATAGTCATCAAATGCGTTGTTTTCAATTTTTTATGATGGATGTCCATTTATATCCTATTCATATTTAAAAGTAGGTAACAAGAGGTTGGGCACAAAATGGTGGCATTTTCCATATGAATACGTAGGATTTTAAAGAACCAATCAAAAAGAAGACAGCAATTGTCGCCACTGTGATTAATAAAGTCACTGTACTTTTAGGTAGGTACCTATGTAAACTATAAACAAAATACAAGCAGATATAGCCGAACAATAGCAGCTGCCAGATGAATATTAGAAAGAAAGTGCAGCTGAGCCCTGCACTGTCTGGAAAGCGCAGGGCTAAGTAGTCACCATTTTTACAGAACTTTTCAAATAAGCCCTATATAGGTAGTGTGACAAATTATACGGGAAAAACGTCTAGGTATAGGTACATGCAACCGATTAACAATTTGGTATGCTACTAGGAATTTGGAACATCTTCGAGTTCGAGTGGATAGTATTAAACATGATTCATAATAAGTAGTAAAAAAAAAACATTCAACTAATTATCGATGATTCTTTTCCTAGAAATACTTGAGACGTGAAGGTCTTAAATTGTTCATAATCAACCTTGAGAATCTTTATAAATAAATAACAATAGCTGCACATAGTTATTATTCTAATAATAATTATGGACCAAATTATGTATTAAAACATTAGTTTTCTCATATAAAAGCCAACAGATCCGTATGTGGAAGAATTTTAAAATCGGTAAATAATTTATAATAGAATAATGCATCGTTTAAATTGTCTAGTTTGTTGATAAACGCATAAGGCATCATAAATTGTTGGTGTGACCTTCATAATTATTATTCTTTTCTTTAATAGTTAAATGATTAATCCAAGACAAAGATTTAGCAACAAAAATAGTCCATAACAATATTAACAAATTTCTTATCAGGCCAATGCCTGGCCTAAATACAATTTGGAATCAAAAAACAATCCAAAAATACTGCAAAATGTTTGAAAAGTTCTGTTTTAAGTTAGATTTTTGCCTCTTGAGTAAAATGAGCTTTTGTTTTCAGATGGGAAACATAGTTTTCCGCAAATACAATCTGTACCTATATGTTGGTCACAAGACATTTCGTTGGAGAGAGAATATAATTTGTTTGTTTTTAAAGTTGTTCTAAAATGACGACTCAAACACATAGGGAACCTAATTATATCTAATTACTCAATAAAGTGAAGAAAATACCAAGTCTTCCTACACTCTCCACTATTCGTTACAGTGGAAGCAGACTTGCTGTTAGGTATACCACTTTGAGTTTGAGTCATGAGCACTCCTTTCAAAATTCAATGTTACTGGAAAAAAATAATAGTCT